AGTGATGATAGCACATTCATGGTCTGCGCATGACCATTAATGTGCCATCATCACCTATGATTAAGGATGCCCGAGGGAATCCGAAACGTCAGGCAAATAAAACTCTTGTTCCAGTGATCGCATCCTCTTGTTCTGTTCTTATTTATCATACGAGGTTCGTTTAATTATGGTCAAGATACGTGTTCCGAAACGTCAGGAAAATAAAGTCCTTGTTCCAGTGATCGCATCTTCTTCTGAACTGCTTCTTTTGACTCGAATATTCGCTTCTATTGGCAATATCGACCTATTCTTGTGAAGGGATTTCAAATACCCATGAGGATATTCAGGTATTACGACGTCAGTTTAGTTTATATCCTGAGTATTTCTTCGGTAAGGTCAAAATAAATGGAATATATGCTAATTAAAATTAATAATATCCCGGCAGACTAGAATCGATTTACCGACAAATTCGGGGAGTTCGTATCTCAAACTGACTTACCTTTCGGGGTGTTGTACTGATCTATTTCTCTGTTGATCAAAAAGCCATTGTCCGCCAAAATGAAGATTGGTGGTGCGCGGTAGCTCCTCTTAACATGAAACCGTTCGGGCAAGTCCTCCTTCAGCCATACGGAGCAATTATTCAGTTTCTTAGAGACAATGGCGTTGTACATTTCCTGTACGCTCTGAGCTTAAACGGAAAACCCCAAGAATAAAAAAAATATTGTGACCTATAAAAAAGAATACTTTCATTATGAAGTCTTTCAATACAATAGAACGATATTATTTCTGTTACCGGTTTTTTCCTCCAAAACCGGATTTTTTAAAATCAAAACCGGATCTGTAACCATCAAAACCGGATTATTACTTATTGTATATTAGATCTATTTCCTCTATTTATTTAACTTCGTTAGTAAAAAGGCAATATTTATAAATATTTCGAATACATAGCGTATAATATTTAATCAAATTACTCTCGATGGACATTAGATAGTGAGAAACATTGTCCAAAGAATATCTCCCAATGTTTAAAATAACTTTTAAAGTTATTTTCACTGACAAGTTTAGAAGTATTCTTCATTCTTTCAAGTAGATCTCCTCTTCCTTGAATTGGAGCATTCCTCCTCACATTAGATTTAATTTGCGAGAAGACCGCCTCGCAGGGGTTCGGGAAAGGAGAATACTTCGGTAAGAAGCGCATCTCATATGGAAACGTGTCGTAAAATTCTTGAATGGAATGGTGGAAACGAACGTTGTCCATAACAATGCTGTATTCCTCGTCGTCGTCAAGACTATCTGGAAGGGCTGCCAAAAGATTTTGGAATACATTTCCATCTACGCTACCAAGCACTGCTTCGCAGTTAATGAAGTTAACTGAATTTGCAGCGAGGATCATAGTTATGCCTATATTATAAATATTATACGCTATATATTCGAAATCTTTATGAAAGATTGTTTTTTTACTAACAAGGTTAAATAAATAGAGGAAATATTTCTGATATACAATAAGTAATAATCCGATTTTGATGTTTACGGATCTGGTTTTGATTTCAACAGATCCAATTTTGGAGGAAAAAACCGGTAAAGACGTTTCGTCGACTAAGCAACGCTGACAAGTTATGGCTAGGAAAAATGACAGATAGTAAATGTTCGGTGTTTCTTGCCCTATTTATGTAATCAGGATTTGCATGCAGTATTTTGAAGTCTTACTCGCATTAGGCCAGAGGCCAACCAATACAGGCGACACATTTCCAAAATATTCGTCAACGGTGACAGCCTCGTGAAGATTGATTCGGTTTTCTGGAGGTATTTGTGCCATACCATGATCCCCTGTCACAATGAGATTCACCTTGCCGCTGAGTTTCGGGCTCGCCTTGATCCTTTTTAACAGGTACGCGATCCCCTTATTAACCCGTTCAATAGCATCTAGAACTTCCTCCGAGTCTGGACCATAACGATGCGCCGTGCTATCTGGCTCATTGAAGTAGAACATGCAGAAGTTGAAGTCATCAAGACTTAACCAGTCCATCACACGATCCACACGGAATTCCAATGTGGGCACATCGCTGTACAGGCCGAAAGTCGCGAAGGGATACTTGTTCGCGTAGATACTCTGACTACCTGGCCAGTAGAAGATGCAACTGCGCTTGCCGTGACGTTGATTTGTGATCCAGATGGGCTCATTCTGGTTGTAGTTCAGGAAGTCAGGATCCATAGAATCTGCCGGCCTGCTGTAGCTAAAATAACGCTCAAGTCTAGGCTCCCAAAATTTGTTATTATAGAGACCGTGGTTCTCAACGTAGCGGCCGGTCGCGATAGCGAAGTGCGTGGGGAAGGTGATGGTGGGAAAAACGTTTTTAACTTCCGCGCGAAAGCCGCTAACTGCAATCGCCTCGAAAGCACTCACGTTCCTGCCGGCATTCCTGGCTACTTCGATGTAGTCCCATCTGAAACCGTCGAGGGAGATAAGGAGGACTTTGTTTGCATGGCTCTGGCAGAAGAGTAGCTGGAGCAGAAGACTACAACTCACTGGGTGCATTACTGCTCTGGTTCAGCACGCCAGCCAGTCTAACCGGGTGTTATAAACTAGTCCGGGAGGCTGGCGTTTGTGCCGAAGACATAGTAAACAGTCGTGCCTGCACGCGATTGGCTGGATTTCCCCTCGGTTGGATAACACACGAG